AAAAAAAACCAAAAAACTTTTACATTCTGCAATTGTTAAAGCCTTTACCGTATTATATAATATGGAACAACGAACGCTTTTTAGAGGCCGCATTCTTCTTGGTTTTATTTTGTATTGTATTCTAAACTCGCAATTAATAAAGAAACTAACTTTTTGAACGGTCGTACTACAGGTCATAAGTGCAGTTTCCTTTTAAGAAACCCTTGAAATAAATAATTAAAAGTAGGCGACCGTTGCAATTTACTATGAAAAATGAGATCATCATATGCATGTCGATCACTCAAATTTCATAGTAAATATTTACCCCTGTGATCTGAGTGACAAATCGGGTGCCTGATAAATGCACGCCATCTACGTACGTATTCACACGCTTTTTGGTATTGAGTAAACATGCGATCATTAATACGTAATTGAATTAAAAGTGAATACGTATAAAGTGTGTTTGCTTGATTACATCGAATTTTCTTTTTTTTTTGTTGTCAGCAATTAACATTATTAAAACAAAATGCTTCTTTCTGTAAATTTATCCATTGACCCTCTCGTTGCTACTGAAATTATACCCGATGGTATGTACTGTTATCAATTTTTTATATTTACTTAATCATGACTTGCTAAATTTTTATTGATATTGTTAAGTCGTGGAGAATTTTGTACTTGAGGCAACGCTTGATATAAAATACGGTGAAAAAAAGGCGGACTTTGGCAATGAAATATCTATTGAAGGTAATAAAGAAATAGCAATATTGTTATGACATTTTATTAGTATTGGTTATGTTAATTGAACGATATTGGTCTTTGACAGAAACCCAAAAAGCACCAGAAGTTAGTTTTAAGATTGGTGAAGCAGATCCCAATTTTCGATATACATTGATTATGGTAACGGTGTTTATTATCCAAAAAATTTTATTATACCGTATTTATTGTATATATAAACATTCTTGTAGACTGATCCCGATGCACCAAGCCGTAAGGAACCAACTAAAAGAGAATGGCGTCATTGGGTCGTTGGAAACATTCCATGTAATTATTCTAATGAATCATAAATTTCTCATGGATTAATATGTTTTACTAAACATTATGATACTTAACAGCTGATGGAAATTTGTCTGAAGCAACACACCTTGATGATTACCAAGGACCAGCTCCACCCCCAAATACTGATTTCCATCGGTATGTCTTGTAAATTACGTATCTTCAATATTGATAATATACATCGGTAAATGTTTATAAAAATTTATCTATTTTCAGATATGTGTTTTTGTTATATCGTCAGCCAACTCCACATATCAACTATCCAAAGTTAAACACAGTAGAAAGACCTGGTTTCAAAGCTCGTCAATTTGCCAAAGAACATGAATTAAAATTAGTCTCTGCCAATTTTTTTACATGCAAGAGATATTAAATTTTGAATGATGATCCTTTCTTTTTACATTGCACTATGTATTAATAAATTTGTATTCTATTAAACTTATTATTTAAATTATACGTATAACAATCATTTTGGATCAAATTGAGTCTACTTTAATTATCTTGGAAATGATTATCGGAAAAAATGAAAAAAATTTTAAATATAGGATAGGAGACAAGATCTGTTATTCTAGAGCATCTCACATTGCCATATTCCTTCATCAAATATGTCTCAATATTATTGAATGAGCTAAATTGATGTCTAGATCAAATACTAATCTTGAAAACACGGTTTTGAGCTCTTGAGAACTATGGCAAATACAAATAAAAAATGTTACGTTATTTATTTAAAGGAATAATCCACCGTTAACTGAAATTCTTAAGAAACTACTGTGATTTACCGATGTAATGAAACATATGATCGAATAGCATGACAGAAGTTCTTTTTAATTGGCTGAAATGTTGATGATCTTCATTAGATGTGATTGGCTAACGTTTATATTTAATCACGTTTTACATATCACTTCGTTATAGCCAACTCTATAGTAAGCAAGTTATATAAAATAATCTCGATCTATGAATTTATTGATAAAACCTTAGTGTAGTGAATTTGTAAAAATATTTATTAATGGAACGGATCATTTCAACGAGAATAACTTGTATCTTAGTGAAGTGGTACGTACGTACGTACGCTAGGATATAAGTAGTGTCGCTCATGACATTTTGCAGATTTGTCTGCAAGGCGACATAAGGGTAAATTATTTAACATCCGATATATCTGATACATCGTAACACATAGATAAAATACACACCCAAAAACAAACAAAAAAAATTCACATGTTCGTATCGTATTTGTAAAGTGTTAAGGCCGAAAGTTATGTAAAATGAAATTGAAATATTTTGGCTCTTGATCAATTGTTGATTGCACCTACACCAATGTTAATTTTTGTTCAATCACGGAAGTTGCATATGCCAAGTGTCAAAAGAAGCTAATGCTAGAAGCATACCCTTACCTCAAGCTTGGAAACCAACTCTGCCACCCGCATTATTGTAAAATTGTAGAAGGCGACAAAAACCAACGAAGGCATAAACTAAAAAAAAAAAATGCTTATTAAAAAAAGACAAATATTGGAACCAATAGAACCAATATCAACTTCAAACAATAATATAGGTAAATTTTTTTTCCTTTTTTTTTTTTTTTTTTAACAATAACTTTATATCAAGATACATTTGCTTTAAACATAAAAATGCTGACAAATGCTTTGTACCACTGATAACGTCAAGAATATGTGGGTTTGGAGCTAGATCTGATAAAATTTGAACATATATAATTGAAAGTATTGAACCTCAACTAAAAGGTTTTTTTGATTATATGGTGAATACAATCATTCCAACAGAATACTCAGCTTATAATATTAATGAGGCCAAAAAGACAATTGTTGGATTATGTTACCAAATAGCAGGTTTGTACAACAAATTTGTAAATCAACATAAGTTGGAAGTTAGTTTATATTTAATGGTGTTAGGAGCAACATGTGAGACTATTGATACAATTTGGAGCCTTGGATACTCAGCATATGCTAAAACAGTAGAGAAATTTCATAAAAAGATTCAAAAAAAATATGTAATAAAAATAGAAAATTACTTTATAGATCATGTAAATTAAGATGTTAATTTAGATGTTTTGAAATGTATATTTTTTTTTTTTTTTTTTTTTTTTGAAAGCGAGGTCTTGCCTCAGTTTTTTATTAATCAAAGTTATGTGGATACATTTTATAATGCATTACATATACTCTAAAAGCTAAAACTAAGACTTGAGCTAATTTACCCACAACCCAAACTTTACCAAGAGGGGCCAAAGGCCTCGCCTAGATTACGATTTGTGAGAGCGACTTTGGAGATGCATTGTTTTGTATAAATAATTTTGACCATTTTTTCATTTTTATTTTTACTATTTCGTTAGTATTCCTTTTTGGATCTTCTGTAGTTGTTGCTGTTTTATCAGAGTTAAAATGTTGAGTCTCTTGTGATTGCATATCTGTTGTAGTATGATTTGCGGTTTCTCAGAATCTTGGTATCCAGATCTTGTTATAGAGGGTTTTGTTTATTTTGTGTAGTATGAGTGCTGCAGGACTGTATTTTTTCTTTGTACTTATTAGTGCATGGTTGACTGTAGTTGCTAAGACTTCAGAGGTGATTCCTGCTAGAGTCTCCGGTAGGCTATTGTTGTCAACTATAGTTAATATTTAAAATATATCGAGTAGTTGTACTTCTATTTTTCTTGGGGTTTGTGTTTTGTTGCTTATTTTAGTTATAGTTTCTTTAATAATTTGGAATACTGTTATAGTGTTTGCTGGGCATATGATCCAGTGTGTGTTTGTTTCTGTGGTTACTATACATATTGGGCACTTTGGGCTGGAATATATTTTTGGGTTGCGGATGTGAAGATTTTGGAGCATAGGAAGTTCATCTAGTAGAAGTTTAAGCTTAAATGCCCTAACTTGGGAGTGTTTGGGAAGTATAAATCTAGTGGTTGGTTTATCATAGTAGTTGAGATATTCGTGTATTGTCTCTCATGATGTTTGGGTTCTGTTTGGGTCCCATCTTTTTATTCTGTTCTGTGAGTGCCATTTGGCGATATGTTGTGTATTTTGGATATGTCAAATGAACCTTCTTGGTTTGTGTATGATACAGGCTTGTTGCCAATGTGCAGTGTATTTGTCATGTCAAATTTTAGTGTGGGTTATTTCCAGGTTTACCATGTTGGTTGCTGGTCGAAAATGAGTAATAAAATTGTTGAAAGCCATGGTAATAGATAGTTGTTTTTTCTCGATAAGTGCCTTGAGTGTGAGCCAGTTGGGCCATAGGTGTACTGATAGGATAGATGTAATGTTGTAAGCTGGTATATTGAGGATTGTATTGGTAAGGTGTATGAACTTTTGGTCTTCAGTGTAAACCATGAGTTGTGTTTTGGGATTTAGAATTAGTGCAATACTAGATAGTGTGTCTATAAAGATTTTGTTCTTGGATAGCCAGGTAAGTGTAGTTTGGCAGAATTTGATGTCGGTGTGAAGTATTTGCCAGGTTACCATGTGGGTCATTTGGGTGTTGTTAGTTATTTTAGAGTAGCTTATAGCTATGTCTATTTTGTTTGTTTCTGGTAGTTGTTGGTGTATTCGTTAGAGAGCTTGAGCTGCCTC